CACACACACACACACACACACACACACACACACACACACACACATAAAAGCAGCTGATTCCAGTCAAACAGCTGCTGGTTGAGTTCGACCTCTTTGGAAAACGTTCCCGTTCAGCAGCATCGCTCCATCTGCACGTCGGAGCTGCTGACACTCGTCCTGAGCTGCTCTCAGGTCTGCGAGCTCTCCGCTGAGCCGTCTGTGTGAGGTCGGGCTGATTTTGGCCTCCCAACAATCATTCCTGCTGCAAAGCTCGCACTTCTGTCCCACGCTGCCTTTGGCAGAAAGCTTAAACACGCTTCAGTTCAGCTCGTTCATCCCAATAACGATTAAGAATCTCTGGAGCGAGCACGTGCTCACAGAGCGAGCAGGTGACCTTCCCCCTCCTCACCACGGCGGGTCGATACACGCCCACATCACTGTGGATGTGGCAATCTGTTACATCACTCATCAACACCCCAACCCCCGACCTTCCTCTGTTTAATGAACCGACCCAGAGACACTCAGACCGCAGACGCTTCAAAACACGAGTTCAGTCAGTGATTAATCGTCACCAGCGAACGATCACACAGTTTGACAGTTAGCCCCGCCCCTCCTCATCACATCTGAGAACAGCGAAGCTGCGTCTGTAGTTTCACAGACAGGTCTGGACACGCTGCAGACAGAATAAAGTTGAAGATCGTTTGTCTCTTAACAGTTTTAATAACTGCACATGTGCCTGCATTTGTGAGCGTGGAGACACAGCTGAGTCATTTAAAAACAAAACGAAGATGAAGAAGAGGAAGCTGAAGGAGCTGGTGAGAGGCCAGAGATCCGAGAGGACCTGAGACAGGACGAGCCAGCAGGTGCGAGGTAGCGAGTCAGCTGACCTCTGCCCATTTACGTCAGCTACAGTCTCTCATGTGTTTGCTCTGATGGGTGGATGCAAACGTCCTGCCTCTCACCAACCTGCTGTCACTGTGAGGCCGGTGAGTGACAACAAAGATGGCCGCTCTCCAACCGTTTATTGTTTAAACTCGGAGCGACGCTACGACGGAGGGAGGAGGAGCCGCTGACGAGGTTTTATTTATACAGCACAAAATCACAGCAACAGTCGCCTCAAGGTACTTTACACTGTAAAGACCAGATACGACAGAGGAAACCCCAACAATCAGAGGCCCTCCTGTAAACAAGCGCTGGAGACAGTGGGAAGGAAAAACTCCCGTTTAACAGGAAGACCAACGTCTCATGTCAGGACCAGTGTTACTATGGTTACTGCTCAAGGGTTAGCTCTTTAGTTACATTGTTACTTTAAATTTCCTGGGAAAA